ACACGAGCCTCAAGGAATTGTGGGAGTTGAAGTCCACCACACCTGGAGGGCCGAAGGTTCCCTACCCCTGGCTTAGCCGGTACTGCACCACCTGACATCCGCCGGGAAGGAGCAGCCAATAGTGAAAGGACCAAGGTAGAGACATCTCCAGCTCATCCCTTGTTTGAGTATCAGCCAGCATGCCAACGGCTTAAGTCAAGAAATAGCTTTCTAAGATCTACAGAAACACTCGCTGGAACACCCCAGCAAGTGAGAGTCCAAAAGTGGCAGGCTCAAACCCAGAACCTCAACCAATGGCTGATACCAAATGAGAGACTCCCCCCTGAGCACACAGAAGACTGGGCGACTTGGAAGGCGCTGAACAGACTGTGCTCTGGCACCACGAGAGGCAGAGCCAACCTTCAGAAATGGGGCCACAAAGTGGAATCCATGACATGTGAGTGCGGAGAAAAGCCAACCACTGACCACCTGCTGCCATGCACCCTGAGCCCCGCCACATGCACAAGGGAGGACCTCCTTGCAGCAACACCAGAGGCACTCCAAGGGGACAGAGACTGGTCAAAGGACATCTAATCAGCTACCAAGCTTGCAAACTTTGTGTTTTGGTTGTTTGTTTGTTTGTTTTTGTTAAAAATGTAATACAAATGTCTGGTTGCTGGTAACACGATAAATAAATATATGTGTGTGTATATAGGCTTTGGATAGCATAGAGAAGGGTGCTCACCCTTGTGGTGTTTTCTTTGCTGTCTGTGCCCGTTTGGAAAATGTCACCTAATTTTCTGTCTGTGTGAGAATTTGCAAAACTGTGTCTTGTTGTGTAAACAAGGATTGGAAATCAAGCTTCGTTGGAGACCAAGTTTGGCGTCAAGACCCCTTGAAACAAAAATTCTTCCAGGAGTGGATTTCCCTTCCTTCCGAAGGACATTCTTTTCACTTCCTGTTGTCTGACCCTCATTCTTAATTAGGAGTCGTTTGCAAGCTGGGTGTTAGAATAAATTGTATTTATCTGAATGCTGTTTATTTGCATCCTGGTTTGCCACAATGTATAGCTATAGGGCAGTGTTTCTCAGCCTGGGGGTCAGGACCCTGGGGGGGGGGGTCGTGAGGGGGTGTCAGAGGGGTCGCCAAAGACCATCAGGAAACACAGTATTTTTTGTGGATCATGGGGATTCTGTGTGGGATGTTCGGCCCAATTTTATCATTGGTGGAGTTCAGAATGCTCTTAGATTGGAGGTGAACTATAAATCCCAGCAGCGACAACTTCCAAATGTCAAAGACTATTTTCCTCAAACTCCACCAGTATTCACATTTGGGCATATTGAATATTCATGCCAAGTTTGGTCCAAATCCCAGGAATTACAACTCCCAAATGTCAAGTCTCTTTTCCCCAAACTCCACTAGTGTTTACATTATTGAGCATTCATGCCAATTTTGATCCAGATCCATCATTGTTTGGGTCCACAGTGTTCTTTGGATGTAGGTGAACTACAACTCCAAAACTCAAGGTCAAAGGCCACCAAACCCTTCCAGTGTTTTCTTTTGGTCATGGGAGCTCTGTGTGCCAAGTTTGGTTCAACTCTATTGTTTGCAGAGTTTTAGGTGAACTATAAATCCCAGCAACTACAACTCCCAAATGACAAAATAACCCACCCATCCACCCACCTACCCCCCAGTATTCAAATTTGGGCATATCGGGTATTGTGTCAAATTTGGACCTGGGAATGAAAATACATCCTGCGTATCGGATATTATAAACACATCCCGCTGTAGTCCTCCTTGTGCTGGAAAGATATTTGGGGGGGGGGGGGTCCTTCTTGGCAGACCTGCCTGGAAAGGGGCAGGGAGGAGGCATGTCTTGCACGGAGGAGGCCTTCCTGGAGGGCCATGCCTCTCCCTTGGAATGCAGCCCCCTCCCCAGCAGAAGGAGACCCCCGCCCACCAAAGCCTTCCCTGTAAAAGCTGCTAAGTGGAACCAGATGGTCTCTGAGCTGCTGCCTTTCGGGCCAAACCATTGCCTTGAGGCCTTGGAAAAAGCAGAGAAAAGCAAAAGGGGGGAAAAGGGGGGTGTTAAAGGCTTGAAAATCTTGGCCAGAACCTGGAGATATCGATATTTCCTCCGTGGGGCATCATTTCCCCCTGCAAAGAAGGCCAGAGCTTGGTGGACTTGGATCAACCAAGGCAGATAATTTCGCTAGGTTTTACACCAGGCCTGGGCCAACTTCGGCCTTCCCTTCAGGCAATTTGGACTGCAACTCCCACAGTTCCTAACATAGTAATAACAACAACATGACTAAAAGTTATGGAGTTGGGGAAGCTGCAATAAGGTAATAGTTTGGATTTTGAACTTCCAAAAGTCATAGAATCCAAGAGTTGGGAGACATCTCCTGGGCCATCATCCAGTCCAACCCCATTCTACCAAGAAGCAGGAATATTGCATTCAAAGCACCCCTGACACTCCGGGGCAGGGAGTTCCACTGCTGAACAGCTCTCACAGTCAGGAAGTTCTTCCCCACACAAAGCTAGAAGCAGGAAGGAAACCAGTGCTTGGCTTCAAAGTGCGCATGGGCCAACTTTGGCCCTCCCTCCGGGTGTTTTGGATCTCAACTCCCACAATTCCTAAGAACCGGTACACTCATAGAATCCTAGAATCCAAGAGTTGGAAGAGACCTCCTGGGCCATCATCCAGTCCAACCCCATTCTGCCAAGAAGCAGGAATACTGCATTCAAAGCACCCCTGACAGATGGCCATCCAGCCTCTGTCTCAAAGCTTCCAAAGAAGGAGCCTCCACCACACTCCCTCCGGGGCAGAGAGTTCCACTGCTGAACGGCTCTCACAGACAGGAAGTTATAGGAAGTTTTTTCTAACCATAGCAGCTCAGGGTTAGGGTGAAAGATCGCAGGATTTTTCTACCTTTTGGAGAAAAGTTACCTCAGTAACTGAAGGAAAAGGGAAAGAAAGAACATCTCTATGGTTTCCCAAATTGACTGTTTGTGTTGTAACTTTATCAAGCTTCGCCAAGTCGGCCAAGGACTTTGGAAATAAACATTTTGTTGATGTTCGTATCTTGACTGGCATCAGTTGCTGAAAGTCATACAATCCTAGAATCAAAGAGTTGGAAGAGACCTGGTGGGCCATCATCCAGTCCAACCCCATTCTGCCAAGAAGCAGGAATACTGCATTCAAAGCACCCCTGACAGATAGCCATCCAGCCTCTGTTTAAAAGTTTCCAAAGAAAGAGCCTCCACCACACTCTGGGGCAGAGAGTTCCACTGCTGAACGGCTCTCACAGTCAGGAAGTTCTTCCCCACACAAAGCTGGAAGCAATAAGGAAACCAGTGCTTGGCTTCAAAGTGCGCATGGGCCAACTTTGGCCCTCCCTCCGGGTGTTTTGGATCTC